CCTGATCTATGCCAGCGGGCGGCCGCATAATAACCTGCGAATCAGTTATGCAGAGACTCTGCCTCCCCTTAATTGTTCACATTGTGAGTAAGAAAACACGCGGTGAGCGCTGTTGTCTTGATGAGAAATTGACATTTTCTGACCTGCTATCCGGAGACACTCAGAAAGACAGATAAGATACGTGGTTGTTTTAAAGCAGGGAGGTTATTCTTCTAGGCCTGTGCAGATGAGTATGGATTGACGACCATGACTATGAACTATGAAGGGTTTCGCCACCTCTTTTAGACAAGTGATAACCTTGGCCGTTGAATGCATTAACTGATTGAAAGTTGCCAGGTACCCAGTGACGGATTTGACTGCACTAAATTACAGTGGCGACACATTAACTTGTGCTGTTTAAAACTTTTACAATTTTGAATTGATTTTACCACGGTTTTGCACTATTTTTTACTTGTTAAGACAAGCTTTGAATGTTGGCTTGAAAAGCTGCATTTATTTCATCACTATAGTAATAATGTGAAATATTGTTAAAATTCAAAACAACTGTTTTCTATTTGAATAGCTTTTGAAATATAATGTATTCCTGTGATGCAAAGCTGAATTTTCAGCATCATTACTCCAGTCTTCAGTGTCACACGCTCCTTCAGAAATTTTGCTGATTTGCTGCATTTAATATTATTATCAATGTTCAAATGGTTGTGCTGCTTAATATTATCGTATTTATAATGTTATAAATGTCACTTTTGATCACTTAAATCTGTCCTTGCTGAATAAAAGTATCATTTCTTAAGGGTTGTTCTTAGGCACATAGCAATTTGGCAAGAAAAACATAATGCCAATATTCAATAAATGATTGCATTTATGAATATTAGCCAAGTTGTAGGCTGTTTAATGTTCCTAAGCAATTAAAATGATAAAAGAGGCGAAGTTGGCAAAAGAAAGCAAAACCTACCCTATTTACTTTCTTAATGCATGTTCCTTATTGTGAATGATTCATCAAAACACATTATTTGAAATTAAACAGTTTGTCTTTTTTCATGTAATAACTTGAGGAGCCTCTGAGAAACTTATCCAACCATCTGACCACTTTTTACATTTCCTGACAGATAAAATCCATTTTTTTACTTGTTGAATATCCCTATTCATCTCTTGTAAATATGTCAGATTATTGAAGTCAATAGACATGAGCATGTTGACTTTTTATAGAGAATTGAACCGATATCAGCTATTCTACCGTTTTGGTGACAATTTGCACAAAAGCTTCCAAAACGGCTTGAAAAGGCCCATTTGACTGTTAAATCCAGCCACAAATCCCAGCGCTAGCTGCTGTAGGTATCAGATCTGACTGGGCTCCTTTAGCCTGTAATTGCTCAACTTACATTTCAAACACTGGGCTCAACGAGGCATCCAGTTGAATCAGTTATGGAGCAGCTTCCTGATGAGACAGAGACAGTGAAGCTCAATTCTACAGTCAGCTCACTAATGACCTTCAACAAGGTTAGCACCGGCACTGTCCTCTGCGTTCACCCTCCGCGAGCGCTACGTCTAATGATGCATGCATGACTGACAAACCCCATGTGGTTCTGCAGGTTGTAATTCACATCATGTGTTGATGAAGAGGTGCACCTACTCCACTAATGATGTCTTGTTAAATGTTGATGGAACCGAGACTTTTTTCCATTTTGCGGTTGTTACAAGTCTGCCGTCTGAATGAATCGCAGAGAAATATCTCCCGGCTTCCTATCGAGCGAGGCCAAAACAGCGCGCATGGAGTGTCCGGCGTGAAATGGTAGTTGTTCTTCAGGGATCAATGCGTTGACCAGGAGGGCCTCCCTCCCCTGGAGACTGTCATTTCTTCTAGGAATTCACAGAAGTGGAAGATGAAAGCCTCGTGTCATCGGCTCACCCAAAAACACCCGGCCGTAAGAGTCTCAGCCAATGCCACATCAAGTCCAAGGCCAGAGAGAGAGATGGGGCCGCCATCTTAACCGGCTCTGCTTCATAACTGCGGCAATTTATACCGATCAGATGTGACAGAGCTCCAGGTTGACTTTTTTTCTTGTTAATTGTTGGCGTTTTTCGTCTCTGTCCTTGCCTTGACGTTTATAATCAGCTAATCAAATGTTTGTGTCATTTTCCCCCCAGTTAAAGTATTGCATTTAAGCAATAAGGTACGAGAGGCTGCACTAAAGTCTGTTGTTAGTTACAAAATTTGTGTTTTTTATTATTTTTAATGTTGCTTTACCAGGCAGTTTCATGAAGTACCAACATTCTGCTAGAAAACCATCCTAACTCTGACTTCAGTTGCCGTGAAGTCAGCCTAAAAGTTACTACATTTTAAATAAAGATTATGAAGGCATACACATTTTTTTTTTGTTTGTTTTAAAATGTTAGCATGACTGGAAATCCATATTAAGGATCTAGGGAAAAAATGCTCTATACTATATATATATTTTTTTTACAGCATATGTAAGTTTGTATGCATCTTTTACAGAACTGCAAGTAGATAGATCTTAAAAATCACTGATTAAAAAACGAAAATGGTTTTAGTTTTGTTTTGTAGATTGAATTGTTTGAACAGTTTAAATTTGTAGATTTAGTTTTTGTTTTTGCATGTGTGCCCTGTTTAAAAAAAAAATGAATACATGGCTGTTTTTAGAGCGAGAAAAGACAAAAATAAGATTGCAGGGAGAAATTAGTCACAGACAAGAAATACTTTAATTAAATATTATGTAAAATTAACAACTTTGTACAATAAAATGTAGAAATATGGCCATAAAACAACTCAAATAAACCATACATGAGCCAGAAATAAAGGCATTTGTTCTTACAGAGCTCGAGTTTAGTGAAATCTTCCGAGTATGGGTACTTAATTAGACTAAAAGACAAAACCAGATTGCAGAAATTATGAAATCCACAAATGCACTTCACGTAACCTTGAGTTTTTCTTACTTTCAGGGTGACCTCACCGGCTCCTCCACTTGGCCGAGCTTTGTTGAGCCATCACAAAGCAAATACATTGTACATTCATCATTTATTTCCATCTACAGCTGCCTTTGCTTCCTGCAGCTAAAGGAAACTTGTGTGCCGATTGCCAAGAGGAAACATCCGCTTTTGGATTGAAACAGAAAGAGTAGCACACTGCCAAACATTATAACATTTACAAAGCCCGAAGTGCAAAGAAAAAAAGCTCAAAATGAAAGCCTTGGATAGGGAAAAAAAAATCACTGCGTCTCATTTGTGGATTTTGGCACGACTCGGAAAATCAATATCATTGAGAGAGAAAAGTGATACGATTCGGCTATGCTACGGTGTCATGAGTTACTTACAAAATGACATTTACAATATAGAACCTCTTCATCTTTGTTGTCCATATATGATACAAAATCTAACTTCTCATTTGTTTTCATTCCCTTTGAATGCTGTTTTACTTGAGGGAATAGGGTAAAATTAATGTTGAAAAAGACAAACTGACAAAATAGTCCAAAAAGATGAGGGGTCACAATAATTATTTTTTATTTTAGTAAAAAATGTTTGTGCTTTTTACACCATTGATCTGAATGGAATAATGAGATTCACTGTGGTGAACATTTGTCATTAAAACAGCAGAAAGGTTCCTCTCAGGAGATTCACTGGAAAGCCTTTGACAGAGCTTTTTTTCTGACATATTTTAATACACATTAGTAACTGATGTATATTTCCATTGCAGATATTTTTTCTTTCCTTTTTTTTTTTTTCCTTCTTGATCCCTGTAAACATGGTTCAGTTATGTGGCAAAGTTATGGTGGCAGGTAAAAATTACTTTACATTCTACAAAAACAAAATTTACAACCACAATTGGATTTTTCCCCCCCTGGGGCGGCTTGACATGCACTTTATCTACTAATATTATTACAGCCAGGTGACACAAACAATTTATTTGACTATACAACAAACAGTTTTCTTTCAAAAAAGTACTTTTTTGATAACTTAAAAATTAATATAAAAATAAACAATGGATTTGACTGCTCCTCAAAATAGCAAATAAACTAACAAACGAAAATGGACGGAAGGTCTGATGGCATAAAAAATGTCTGAATTACAAATGAAATGCGCGGGCGATACAATCTATCGGTACAAAACATCGAATGCAGGCGATGATTCTTGGCTAAACCTTCATCGTAATTTCGACCATGGAAAACAATACAGGTGAGATCAAAGAAAATGATGCAAAAGCAATATACAAAATTTCAAAGATAAATACAATATTTATAATTGATATGTTACAAAAAAATCCCTTAGTGACCGCAAGTGTTTGTGTGAAAGTGTTGCAATGTATAAGACAATTTTACTCCTAACTGTAGGAATAAAACTCTGTACTAAATATTTAAGTGAATCTGGAAAATTCAAGACAAGTGTATAAATATTTAGCTACAACTTTGGCAAAATCACAAAAGTCTACAATTGTATAACCACATACAAAACACATTAGGGAGTAAGGAGCTAGAGGTATAAGGACAACTTTCTGGTACAAGAAACAGACTTCACAGTAGCCTAAGAATGCAATAGTATACAGTGCTAGCAAAAAGTTGAAAAACATTGCAGATCACACTCGCTTTACAGGAAGCTTTAGCAGTGGAAATATTTTCTTTCTTTTTTTTTTCTTTTTTTTTAACCAACAGACAGTAGCGCTTCGTCTCTGTTAGTGTGCTTGTTGAAGGCAAGATAATAATTTTTTTGCAATATCAAAGTTACAACTTCTACCTACAATAAGTTACAAAGTTCATTTCCGCCGAACGAACTGAACGATAAGATCTCCTCTGACGGTTCCTCGCACAGTTCGCTCTTCCTTGCCTTTCTTTTTGATTTATAAATCATATATCTTATATAATTTCCAGTTTATTGGCTCTGTATATATTGGCCCCCTTTTTATTACCACAATCAAAAAAAAAAAAACGAGCAAAACGATAAACAAAAAATAATAATAATAATAAAAAAGGAAAATTAATTCACATTATGAATATGTGCAGCGGCAGCACATCGGTGAAAGAGAAACATTCTTACACATTTTTATTTTTTTTATCAGTGTTTTCATCAAATGGCATATCCACAATGTTTCTTCCCACACATAGCAAGAACTAGACATAGCCAAGATTAAACCAGAAATGTTTATACAAAATAGGTACGTTTTGTTATTTTTTTCCCCTTCGAGATCGTGAAAATGACAAGATTCAGTCAATAAACTGTGAAGTCGCTTGCATGTCAATTTCGAATAAACTCTTTGAAGCAAAGTGTCTTTTTCCTCTGAATAACAGAATTAGCTGCTGATTAACTTCATGACGAATGACAACTTCGAGGAGGTTCCTCTGCATAACGTACTATGCTTCATCCCGGTGAGGAGACGGCTGCTTTACAAGGGAAGGGAGTGCAATTTACATGGGTGGGACCACCAGTCCGGACATAGCTGCAAGAGAAAGAGAAACAATTTTAGCACGGGAGGTCCCGAGACGCCTCGCAGAAGACAAAAAAAAAACACAGCAGTAAGTATGTCACTCGCATTTCACAAAATACTCGACTCGAAAGGCGCTGGGGATGTTTGTAAAATGGAGGCTGTTGCTGTCGGGGGCCGACGGGGGAGGGTTGGGAGTGATTGAGTGAAATGTGCTTCACCGACAAGACGTGCTGGAAGGACTTCACTTTTTGAAAGAGGAGCTTTCTGACATTTTGAGGAGAAAGCATCCTGGCTCCAACATGTGTGATATTTCTCTTAGCGTTTTGTTAATGGCAAACAGTGGGCCAGACTCCCAGGAGAGGGTCCCTGCTGACAGCCGAGAAACAACACGGTCACTTCTGCTAACGTCACGTAGACCCGCGGTCTCCCCTCCTCAGTCAGCATCCAGACACCCCTCGGCTTTGCCCAAATTGAAATCTTCGTCTCGCTCCCTCCAGCCATTACCGGAGCCGACTGGATGCTGGAAAACCATTTGCATTCTTCTGTCAGCCCGTATTTCTCCCCCCCAGTCTCTCCTTATCGTGACATCTAAAGAAGGCCGGACTAGGTCGTCGCACGCCCACCCTGAACGTGGAGATTGATTCACTCGCTCATTTCCACAATTAGGTGTCTAGTGAAGTGCCAGGGGAGGGCAAACGGGAGGAAAGCTCTTTTGCCGCTTTCAACTTATTTGTAGAGTCATGCTTGGAGTGCTTTTAAGTTTGCCAAGGCATCTGATGTTGTGGCATTCCTCATTAATTTCTGCAAACCACATATTAATAAGTAGATGCATGTAGTGGCATGAACTTTAATTTCTCAGTTCATTAGGTCTAACATTATTAATCTCGCTTGCACACACTATGGCTAAAACATGTTTTCAAAGCAAACAACTGGGCCTTGACGGAGAGCAAATACGAGCGCACTAAACAGCCAGAGTAAGTCTTTAATTTGCCGAACGATGCCGCCCTGCCGAGAATACGGTGAGCTCCTTCCCTCTCGCTCTTTCTTCTTATAATCACATTCAACCTGGGTTATAATCACTTCTTCTGCTGCTAAGTTCCTCTCTGGCAATGTTATTCGACATCGGATGAGCGACGATGGCGAGGCGTTAACATTTCTGCCCTTTCGGATCCGTCGTTTGCGCTACTATTGTAAGAAACATTAATTTTTAACTCGAGGATGAGGGGGCCGCATACCACCAATGTAAAGAGAACATGGAGACGTATGTCGAGCTCAGTTTGAATGCGAAAGAGCCGGTGAATCATGGAGCGGCAGCGTCGATTTCGTTTGCGCAAGATGTTACCGAATTACAGCATTCCCAGCCACTCGAGTACGAAACCTCACGAGACACTTAACTTTGCTCAATCATTAATGAAAGATAAATAAATCAATAAACACACCCACACATGTACATGCATTCTACATGCCCGCATGCATAATGCGTTCTTGCACTTATCCGACCACTCATCCGTCCATCCATCCGCCCATCCACGAGTAAATGCATAATTGATGCGGGCTGGAGGCCGTGTTCGTTAAGTGGCGGCGGGGATGGCGGATGGGTGGTGTCTGGGTACCAGAGTGCAATAATGCGACCCAACAGGTGAGGCAACTGCGGGGCGTTCTAAAAGCAGGGAGTCGGCTCTCACCTTGAAGTCCATTGCCATTTGCACTGGTGCAAGAAGGAGGTGGAGATGCTTGGGGCCTGACAACTGGAGCAAAGGCGCTTTTTTGTTTCACTGCAGAGATGACATTGGCAGGTGAGAATGAGAAAATGCCGTGTGTACTGCTACAGTTTGAAGAGAGGCTGACCGAAGAGGCTGCCATGGTAGGGCTCGACGGAACTACTGCAACAAAGCAGACATAGTCACCACTCAGAGAGAGTTCACTTCTTACAGACGAAGAGTAAAGAGAGCCGGGCCTCGCCTCTTTTTCAAATCATATTCATGGAATGAAAACAAATCAGGGAGAAATGGTCATGAGGATATGGGGGAAATTTGGGTTGCGGGTCTTTTTTTGGGGGGACCAAAACAAACAAGCAAATCATCAGGTAAATGGAGTTGGAATGGGATATGAGATGTCCTGCCTTGGCCACTTTCTGGATAATAGGCGTTCTTATCGACTCTGACTGGGTAATTTTGCCGAAAACATTTGTCTTTTTTGTTTTTTTAGAGATTTTGGGTGCTGTTTTGGTGGCCTGCTTTATAATTGCAAATGCTTTTGCTTTTCAACAGCTGCTTTGATTGGTCGGATTCGTTAAATGTCTCGGTTGTTCAGCCTCCAGAGTCACCCCTCCTTTTATCCAGTAGCACACATTCCCAAAAGGTAACAAAACAAACCAACTAACAACCAACAGAACAACAACAGAGGAGTGTCAAAAGGAAAGGGAAGCACAGGTGGGGGACAGAGAGAGCGGGGGGCTCGTCATTACCTTGATACTTACTGCCGTAGGGAGAGTTTGCCGAGGAGCCATTCAAGAAGCCCGGTGAGCTGGGCACACCCAGGTTGGGCATTCCCGTGTTGCCATAACCATTCATGCTGTTGCTGACAGCGTTGTAGTTGGACTGCTGCGGGGTGCTGCTGGGCACGTAACCGCGAGGCGACACACTGCTCGTGTTGCGGCTATAGCCCACTGCGGACGGAAAGACATCGGTCAAAATCTGCCACAGTGTTCGGAATCTATATAATTCTTGAGGTAGGTGCCATCATCAGTTTCAAAGGTTATTTTTAGACTATTTATTAGCACATACATATATATCAAATGTAAATAAATTAAACAATTCTTTGAAAACAGTTCCTACAGTCATGCCATGCCTAGACAATTCCCCCCCCCCATACGGTTTGCACAGTAATGCATTTTACTTGGGTTTCATGAGTATGGCCCAATGTGTTAACGTGGCCGGTCCACACAGCTGTGCGTTAAATTCACCTCCATGTATGTAAGGAGGATATTCAGCGTCCCAGCATGTATTCCAGTGTGATTTTTCCCTGTCCTGACCTGAGTGGAGGCAACAATGGAACAGGTGTAAACCTATTATCAGTACACTGGCTAAATTCAGTGTGTGAGATAGCGCTGCATGTTCTGGCAGGCTGGCAGCGGAGAGATGGGGACAGGGTCAGGCACCTCCTGGGATCTATGCTATACACAGCCAGGAAAGATAACGCTGCAGCCGGCCTGTGCCATGATTCATGCTGCTAGCAGCTCGCTAATGTTCGCTAATCGTTGCAAGCATTTTTATAGAAATGTGTATAAGTCATTTTGATATTCGCAGCTGAACAACTAAAGTGGTTAGTGGTTAGGCTGTCTGGAGGGGATTTGGTAGTTATCTCTTAGACTGACAAGCCTCCAGTTTGGCCAGTAAACCACCTTAGTCTGGTTTAAGCTTTTAACCGCAGGGTTCATTGTAATCTACATGCTAATCTTCATGCCACATACCTTGTGAGGTCTCTGAGACGTTGACGGCGAGCTGACCGCCGAAAGAGTTGACTCCCATCATTCCGCCGTGAGAAGCCGTGTTGGCAAGGGACGGGATCTGGTTGTGGTTACGTGGGACGCTGTACAGAGCCTCTGCAATATCTGCGGCCCTCTTCAACAACAGAGGAGTGTCAAAAGGAAAGGGAAGCACAGGTGGGGGACAGAGAGAGCGGGGGGCTCGTCATTACCTTGATACTTACTGCCGTAGGGAGAGTTTGCCGAGGAGCCATTCAAGAAGCCCGGTGAGCTGGGCACACCCAGGTTGGGCATTCCCGTGTTGCCATAACCATTCATGCTGTTGCTGACAGCGTTGTAGTTGGACTGCTGCGGGGTGCTGCTGGGCACGTAACCGCGAGGCGACACACTGCTCGTGTTGCGGCTATAGCCCACTGCGGACGGAAAGACATCGGTCAAAATCTGCCACAGTGTTCGGAATCTATATAATTCTTGAGGTAGGTGCCATCATCAGTTTCAAAGGTTATTTTTAGACTATTTATTAGCACATACATATATATCAAATGTAAATAAATTAAACAATTCTTTGAAAACAGTTCCTACAGTCATGCCATGCCTAGACAATTCCCCCCCCCCATACGGTTTGCACAGTAATGCATTTTACTTGGGTTTCATGAGTATGGCCCAATGTGTTAACGTGGCCGGTCCACACAGCTGTGCGTTAAATTCACCTCCATGTATGTAAGGAGGATATTCAGCGTCCCAGCATGTATTCCAGTGTGATTTTTCCCTGTCCTGACCTGAGTGGAGGCAACAATGGAACAGGTGTAAACCTATTATCAGTACACTGGCTAAATGCAGTGTGTGAGATAGCGCTGCATGTTCTGGCAGGCTGGCAGCGGAGAGATGGGGACAGGGTCAGGCACCTCCTGGGATCTATGCTATACACAGCCAGGAAAGATAACGCTGCAGCCGGCCTGTGCCATGATTCATGCTGCTAGCAGCTCGCTAATGTTCGCTAATCGTTGCAAGCATTTTTATAGAAATGTGTATAAGTCATTTTGATATTCGCAGCTGAACAACTAAAGTGGTTAGTGGTTAGGCTGTCTGGAGGGGATTTGGTAGTTATCTCTTAGACTGACAAGCCTCCAGTTTGGCCAGTAAACCACCTTAGTCTGGTTTAAGCTTTTAACCGCAGGGTTCATTGTAATCTACATGCTAATCTTCATGCCACATACCTTGTGAGGTCTCTGAGACGTTGACGGCGAGCTGACCGCCGAAAGAGTTGACTCCCATCATTCCGCCGTGAGAAGCCGTGTTGGCAAGGGACGGGATCTGGTTGTGGTTACGTGGGACGCTGTACAGAGCCTCTGCAATATCTGCGGCCCTCTTCAGGATGATCTCCTACCACACAGAAACAGAGAAAGGAGAGTTATCGGTTTGTTTTTATAAGAACTTGAGGCCAGAGATCTGAACTCAGTAGGCATCATTTCTTCTAACACTTATGTGTAAATGTATGTAAAACATTTATATATATATAAAAATATATATATAAATATTACTATTTATATAAAACTACTATTTATATATAAAACCATATATCTATATATAAATTGCATTTTTACTATACACAAAAACATATAAATATGGATTTTCTGTCTGTAGGTAAACATAAATGACAGGACGTTTGCATTTGTTTCGCTGTAGTTGGATTGCAGTGTCTTCACCTCTGTGCTACTCGACTGGGGGAAAATAATGTAATGGATAATTTCTTCTGAATATGTATTAGACCTCTCAAGCATAGCTGGACCGCTCAGTAGAATATATTCCAGAAGTGCACCTTTTAGGGCCAAGTTCAAGGTTATCCTCCCATTTAAATAAGCCTGTATATGGCTGTGCACATGTGTTTTGAGTGATTAACTCGTCACTTTGCACCAAGAGCCGTAGCCAGGAATTAAATTGCGAAAAAGCAGAAGAAGAAAAGAAAAAAAACAAGCTTTCACCCGGCTACAGTACAAAGGCCCCCAGCTAGCTTTGAAACATACAGGAATGTAGCAAAAGGAGACCAATGCTAATTTAATTACATCCACCGTGCAAAGGAAGAGAAAAGGTGCTTCATTAGCTTGAGTTTGTACCTGGTTGTTGTGTGGCATCCCGTACAGCGCTTCCACAAGGTCAGCGGCTCTCTTTAGCAACACCTCCTGCAATATACACCCAGAATGCAACATAATCAGTCATAAAGACGTATAAACACCATCAGCCAGTACATTGCACATTAACAATAAGAGTGCATGTGGGTCTGGGTAAATTATAAGCTCTTTATCTCTGGTTGGGAAAAAATACACAAGCTGACGAGCGGAAATAAAACGTTTTTAATTATATATTATCAAATGCATTCTTTTATTTCTTAGTCACATTTCATTTGACTTAGTTAGACTAGTGAAGTGGTGTGTAACTTAAGCTAAATGAGTCAACATAAGGACTTGCGTTTCAATGACGTGGCCTTGTGGGTATTAAACAAACAAACACTAGCATGCCGCACCGAGTCAAACACAGACGCCGCGTTCGCCTGCTAATTCCACGCACTTTAGCTCAGAAGAACAATGAGTCATTTTCCATATCTTAATTAAACTGGCAGAGTCCTCAAAGACAACATCTCACCCCTAATTCATGCCCCAAATTTGCAGAAGAGTTCAATGCCCATTCCTCTTTCTTCAGGACAATAAAGTGAATTAGCTCGGGTTAATCTAGTTCTTTCATAATGACATTAGGAAATTTTTCAATTAACCCTCTTTCTCTGGCTGTTGTAAAGGACTTCATAAACGACTTCCTCTCCAGAGCGGGCTGAGAGGCTGTGCCCTGGGACACGGACGCTGGAAACTCTCGCTTATCCCTGTCTGCAAGCTTTTCCCCGACTTATAACACAACAAGGATTAACCTGCCGCTTATTTTCCCTTCAAAAATCACACCTAAGCTGCCAACAAGGTGCGTGCGGCAGGGACTCCAAAGCGTTTCGCACAGGTTGCCGCTTATTTTCCTCTTGCAAGAGCTACTTTTTGGGAATTTACAATATATTGTTGTAGCATTTTAGCATGACTTGAACTTGCTGACTTGCTTTTTATCGATTTGCAGGTCGCGTTTGAGTGTAACCACATTCACGGTGTTGTCCTTGCGGGTGCGAAGCGTGGAGCGCCTTCATCATGGCTCGATGGATATTTCATTCCCATGCACAAGCGCCATGTTGGATCCTTATTTATCAAGATTAATCACAGGCCTGTGCATTTTATAGAGACGCACTCCAAACCTGAGCCTAACCAGATGACTGCTTCTTCAAATGGGCATTTACTTCTGAAATTGGGGGCTGTGTTTCATGTTGCATGCGTCTAGTTTGCATACAAATAAAGAATTACACTTGTCATTCAGCAGGTAGTGTCAATGAAAGGCCCAGCTGTCCTAGTCCAGCTCTCGGCTCTCTCTAAGCAAGATTAACTGTTTTTCTGAGCCGCTAATAATTACTCATCATCTCAGTCATCATATCACAAGACGTCTTACATGCCTCCCAATTTCACCCGACGATTATCGCAATTAACGTCGCCGAAACCTCGCCCCGGCCGACACCTACTTGAACTTCTCGTCCATATGGCGGCCGAGAGGAGAAGGAGGCGTAAGGATAGTTTAAGCAAACGACGCATACCCTCAACTCTAATCTGTCATTTGCCATGAGGTGCGTTTCCTAATGAACCAGATTTAGCAGCGAGCGTTGAAGTGGGAGCCTATGCGTGGTGAACACGTCGGCCAATCGGCGGAGGAGGCTGTGAATGAGTTTGTTTTGTTCCAGCATGCCCCTCTCATCCTCATGGCCTCACGCTGAGAATATGATTAGCGGTGAGCGGTGTTCGAAAAGCATTTCCATGTAAATTTCAGAGCAGCAGCGTTAAGTGTAATTGACTCCTCTTCTTTTTCCACATCGAGACGAGATTCCAGGTTAGACCGGGAACTATTTAAGCCCGAAACGATCCCAGGGCTTGTTTCGTGACAAATGCGAAGGCTTATTATTACAAGAGCTCATTGTTCCGCCGGTGGATGAGAATCGTTTAAATGGAAAACTTGTTATTATCACTCTTTAATATCGTGAGTGGTATATATCACCACTGTTAAAGAAGCCAAGTGAGGTGAGGGGCTGGAGGTGCTAATGTCATTATAAAAGTGTAAAGCAATTATTCTGTTAGTTCTTGCCTGAGGTGATGAATACATTGAGAAGTGCGGGTCCGATACGTGTAGCTACCTCGCAAAAGCCAAGAGAGAGAAGATGAATTTTAATGCATGGGTAATTGCTCAACATGAATGCATTTCTAATAATTTTTTCTTGGATATTAGATTGAACGGGAAGCGTAATAGATTGGTGTTTGCCAGCTGAAACAGGACGCAAAGAGGCTAATGGAACTGATGAATGTGAGTCTACAGCCGACAGGTTACCACTATATGATTCGCAATAAAGATTATTTGATGGCACGTAAGCGAACGTATGGAGCCTGATCAGATTTTCATTCCAGTGTTTGTCTCAGCCTTATATCGAGACAAATGAATTACACTGATTTCAAACAAGGACTTTAAAAGAAAGAGGATTGGAAGGTCCCTTTAGCAATCTCCTGCCTCATCACATGAGTGACTTCACATATTGCTTTTTACTCTCTCTCGCCATCTTCGTATATAAACGCGTTCATTGGACGCCCCTCCCCTTGGATCGAGCAGCAAATTTTGATTTAATCTAAAATTAGGGAGGTAAACTGCAGTTCCGGGCAACTCGTAGTATGAATATGTTAGGGATTTCTAAAGTATTGGTACTATAAAAAGTAAAACAATTGAGAAATACTTGTGATTTAATGTTAATATTTAGTAGCTGCATGTCCAAAGCAATACATGCACGCCATATCGGCTTTCTGTCGGGCTAAGATCCCCCATCAGACCTTGTGCATTGTAGATCCCTGCCTGAAAAGAAGGAAGGAAAAGGAAAAGGAAAAAAACAAAAACAATCCAGGAATCGATATCAGGGGCATATTATCAACTCTACAGCGGAGTCGAGCAGGCGAGCACGAGTGTGACGGCTTTACCTTATTGCTAACACACTGTGTACATCCCTTCCCCCGAAACCTCTTATTACGACGGTCTGTCTCTTATTGAGAATATGTGTAAGGGTCAATTGCTGCTTTGCGTGGAGCTGGCTGTGACCCTCGAACACGATAGAGGTGCAGACGGCGGTGGTAACTATGATGAATCACTTGGCACTTTCATTTACATGCTGCTGAACTCACATTTGGGTCCATTAGAAGCCAAAATCAAATATTTATGTTGTTTATTGGAACTGCTCTGGTGTGATGGCCCTGCGCAGAGGGTTTACCTGAATTAGAGATGAGTGAAATTGCATGCACTTGAGTAAAGAAAAAAGCCATTTCCATTTATTTTTTGTTATTGATGCTGTTGTGTTATTCTTCTTTTAATATAATATACAAATAATACTAATAATGATAAAAGTATTTAAAAAAATTGAGGCATGTAATCACATACACTTAAGGAAAAAATGCCATATCAGTCACTTTTTTTTGTTATTGTTGCTGTTGTATCTTCTTCTTTTGATATGATAAAATATACAAATAAATTGAGATGTGTGAAATTGCATGAACATCAGGGAGAAAAAAAAACATTTTAATCTTTTTTTAATTGCATGCTATTGTATTTCTCTTATTTTAATATAATAAAATCTATGAAGTATAACAGTAATAATACAATTAAATAAATAAATACATAAATAAATAAATATATATTTTTCCAGGTTCAGAAATGATCAAGCAGAATGGCTTTAAATTATTATTTTTTTGGATAATGGATAGTTTAAAGCATTTACTGGAATGAGATTTCCTGTCCAGAAATTGGCCTCCACAGAGACAGAGAGCCAAGTGTAATTGAAACACATCATGTGGCGCAGGGCAAAGTCTTATGGGTTCTTAGTTTGGTGCATATCTGCGGGACACTAGCGCTGAGAAAACGCCATTCCAGAGCTGTTCAGAGGAAGTTAATGATAGCGGCTGTTCCCATGCTGGGCTTTAATAGATATTTGTATAATATCTGTTATTAGGCCTCCGTGGTGGTCAGCTCTCGCCGAGCACCCACGAACAGGGTACAAAATAATCTCTTAACATATTATTAAGAAAAGCCCTCGGCGCCACGCCGCTCTCAGATGGGAAATTAGCACGTTTTCTATTAGCCGGGCACAAGTCATAGATCCTATCAAAGCTAAATGAGCAAAAAAAAAAAGGAGGGACGAATCAAGGAATAGGAAATAGAAAAGGTCCAACAGGCATGCTTTGTCTTTCATGTCACACATCAAAACAACAGAACTGTGATACGTGTCGACCACATGGGAACTGCAGGCAAACTGCATGGTTTGTGGAATTTAAGTGGGGGGAAAAATAAATAAATGAAGCTAAAAAGCCCAGAGAGAGGGCTTGCCCATATTAACGTGAGCGGAACTCATTTATTAACCTAAGACAAGGACTTTTAACGGAAAGCTCTGTAAACAAAAGATTAAACTGGATCTAGCTTTGGAAAATGAAAGGAAAACAAGACCAAAATAATCACAAATCTGAAAAAGGCCTCTGCTTAGATTACAATCGCCACTGCCTACTGGGGTGGAAAAATACTTAATTGAACCATTTCGAGGTGCCGAAAGTTTGCACGATTCCGGCGGAATCCAAACACGCCGGATTGCATAGTGATGACTTGCCAAAAGCGATTGCATGCACTTCCTCATCTAGCCAGTGAATTGTTTCCTGTTTTGACATTTCTATGATAAATAGCTCTTTCACACACACACACACACACACACACACACACACACACAATCACTAACCTTGGGCAACCTCTCCGGATCACCTGGATGTCTGGGAATGACCTTCTGCAGTCTCTGGAAGCCGTAGTCAATAGTTGGTTCGTTCAAAGCTAAACCGCAAAACAAGAAAACGCCATCCGTTAGCATCCAGCGCAGGCAAAACAAATGAACAGATTTGTGTTTTCATCATAAATGTTATTACATTCGCTCTTGAGAATCATGCATTTTATTCCAGATAGGTCTGAGCATTTGAATAAAAGGTAATAACGTGCTGTGCAATACTCCATCAGAGCCACATCTATCACCTCTCCTATTTGAAAGAACGAGGCCTATAATTGATCAGATAAATTTGAAGGAGTTAGCTGATACATTATGAATGAAACAGGCTCGCTCGTACAAACTCACACACACACGCTCGATTGCGACTGTCAACTCTGTGAAGTCTGCATCAGTCCTGCTTCCTGAAGCACCCACTGGATTTATGGGCAACGGGCGATGATGACATATGTCTGGCTATTGCACCCCTTCAGATTTATCCCTCTTTCTCGAACTCTCTCCGCCATCGTGCGCTAAAGCAAAGCAGGCAGGAGGAACACTTCATCTTATGGAGCTTTAATAATCTGTGAATGGTTGACTACAAACTGATGTAGGGCGCTATCATTTCACAGCTGTGCCGGGACTGGCCTCATGAAATTGCTGGCCACAAATAGTAATTAATCTTTTCTTTCACACTCACACATGACGCACACACACATGTTCCCTCCCTCTCAAATTGGAATTTTGAGTATGAAGTGCTCAGGTTATAAATCAGACAGAGCTGCTCCGTATACAAGTGCATGAATCATAATCTCAACTTCCTACTACCGCATGCATTGTGTTTAACAAGCTTTAGAAGAGCGCATGGAGGTCTATTGCGGTCACACTAGACTTTAAGCATGGGAAATTATTTTCAACAAATATCAAATGTGTCACACTCTAGGGCGTCTTTTTTTTTTTTTTTTTGCATAAAATATTTTTAAATGAATAGTGAGTAGTATTTGCCCATGCAAAAACTGTCAACACAATGCTATGATTGTTTCGGTGGTTGTCAAGTTGTTGCAATGCAGCTGGTTTTTAAAGTTAACATGAAATTTTCTGAAAATTTCTAAATTCATGTTATAGATCTTATAGTGAACAATTCATCTGTGCATATATTTAAAAAAAAAATTGACCTAACGTTTAATCAAAATGACATAACTGGACCAGATGAGGGGGAAAAGCATTAAATATATGACTTAATGTAGATATATGATTTAATATACCCTCATCCATAACATAAACTTGATCATAAATGTGTGTAATTTCTGTCACTAACATCAACAACCAGAAATGCACAAATAATAGTGACTGATTTCAAACAGGTTTCCTGAACACTAATCTGCCATTGGCCAGACATACAGATAGCCCCGCCCCCAAATGCATACCATTGGTTGTGGCTATATTAGAATGGACATAAAAAATGACACAGAAGGAAGAAAAGATCACAAGAGGAAAGCAAGCAGAACATCAGCATAAAAGTATTATCAGACATGAATGTAGATGTCGTTGTCAGTGATGAGGCCGTATGAATCAATGCGCTTTTCCTTTTTGAGAGATCAAATCTGTCTGTCCCCTTAGTCAGCACGCTGTTCGCCGCTGAACTCTGACGGAAACGGGGAGAAACAACTAAAGAACTAAAGCAGAGAATGAGAGATGACAGCCTGAGAGGAGAAGATGAGCATATTAGACAGGAACTTCCTGGAAATAATTGGGTGACTTTATGATGAAGTGCTACAATTACATCTAAGTGTAGTAGGGGGCGGCAATCCAATCAATTTGATTTGATCAATATCAGGACAGTGCTTGTGTTTTGGCGCACACGTATGCGTGTCATCGTGTGACAGCAGTGATGCTATTTGACATGCCATCTTGCATGGCTGAAGACAAAGTAGCGTGCAGGAATCCGAAGTAAGATGTCGGCTTGTTAATAAAGCATTGATCGGGCGTATTGATTTTACATGACATGGCTTTCACAAGGATGTAGCTCTCTGACGCACACCTTCACCTCCCCTTTTCCTTCTCCTCTCGTCTGTCGTTCCTAGACGGACACCCTCCACCTCTCCGAGATGTAAATGTTTGTATTACAGCACTTCATTATGCCTGAATTTGCCCATATGAGGCTATCCATCATTTTGGCCCGTTTTTCATGTCTGGCGCCTGGAACTACACAAATGGATCATGCACTTTGACACTAGCCCTTCAGAATGTGTATTTGCCCTGGGACACACAATAAAAGTACCCGGTGACATTAAATATGGCCCAAAAGTGGGCAGATTTACAGCCGTTCTGATGGCACTTTCACACAGCGCAGCCCCGAGCAGCAACATGTTGTTCTGCGCTCTGACATTGAGGCTTTGCTGATGAAGGAATGTGTGCGGTTTGATAAATGTATCGGAACAGTGGGCGCTAAACGCTCTTCAGTTATTGATCTGATGCTAATGCAGTAAAAGAGGTCAGTGAGACCTTCATTAGCGCAAGACAGTCCCTCACCTCTGAGATCCTCCACCTCAAACACACCAGGAATTATTAACTACAGCTGGGTGAAAAACACACTGATTTACTATGGTAACCACAATTTATTGTACCAAATACCATAGCATAACTGCAACAGCATTGATTTTAGCCATAGCACTTGTCATAAAAAAATAATCAATTAAAATAAAAGAGTTAAATAGTAATCATGGTTTCTAGCAAAATACTACAACATATCTATAATAAAACTGTTTGATTGGCAATACACAGCAATAAATAAATAAACAGACAGACAGTAAATAAACTTGATATAAGCAAATTAGTTATGAAAAATAATTAAATAAAAATATAGTAAAAATTGTAATTAGTTTCTTGCAAAATACCATAACAACTCAAACATAAATATAATATTAGCCATTAAATTAGTAATTAAAAAAATAATACATGAATAAATAAATTTTAAAAAAGAAATTAAATGTTAATTATATTTTTAGCAAAATACCATAGCTACAATAACTGTTTATAAAAATAATAAATAAATAAATCAGAAAAAAATGCCTATAAAATCATATCTACCAAAATAGCATAGCTAAAATAGAAATGTTTAATATTAGCAATAAAAATAGTTATGATAAAAACATTTTTTTATTAATTGACTAATTAATTACAATTAATAGTTTATTTTTCCCAAGTAGGAACAACATCTACATTTTGCATGGTTTTTAGGTGGTTACTTACTGATCCAAGTAATAAAACGTCCACCCTAAAAATATTCTGATCTCTAGATATAGCTCAATGTAAATCTATTGGATTTTTTCCACCAATTTTATCACCCACCAAGTGAAAACCAAAAGCCGGATCACTTTGTGTAAAGTAATACACAATTTAAGGTGTCATTCATGTCTGTAGCACAAATGGTGCACTTAAGCCCCATATCAAACATCACTAAGAACTCTAGTAGCCATGATATTTTTGTGGAAACGATGGTTACCATGCTAAAAAAAAAAAATTATAAGGGGAGTACTGTTGCAATTCCGAAAACATAAAATTGATAAAAATGACAGAGAAATGAATGGAAGAAGAAACAGATGTGGTTTTGGTGTGTGTGTGTGTGGGGGGGGGCGTTCGTGCTACTGGGCCAGCTGGGAAATATGGAGAACAGATTGAGCAATAACAGTTTAAATCCAGACAGACTCCTGCAAGCATCTCGCTTCTCCTTCACTCTCACATCGTTGTACTATAAAACACTTTTTCTCGTTTTTTCATATCTTCCAGCCCAGGCCTGAGGCTAAGCCCCTCCCACTGGCCTTTGAGCCGGCCCCCCAGCCCCGGGCTCGGCCAATCAATAGCACTTTCCTGTTTAAGAGCTGGGTAATTATGAGGTGGGGAGAGTAGGTGACCTTTCACCTGTTCCGCATTACTTTGCTGATATTAAGATAAATTGCCCGATTTTGGGTAAACATATGCTGCAATTCAGGCTGTCAGCGCCGGTTTGCTCAGGGATAATTTGTATTGATCTCTCCGTTTCTTCCCAATTCTGCTTACTGACCTCACGGATAATGAGAGAGAGAGAGTGTAAGTGCTGGATATGGCCGTAGTCACCTCTGCTTTTCACCGCATATGTGTGTGAGAGTATCTGGAAGCCTGGCGTATGTCAGTGGCAGAGTGTTTTGCTTACGTCTTCATTTGTCATCCATTTTCTGTTTGTTTGTTCTATCCATCCGGAATGGAAAGAGGGGGGCCAAACGCCGTTTAGCACTCAAGCATAACTGAACACGTTAAATCAAATCAGGCTCACGTCTCATACGGGACCGTTATGAATTATGGAGCCACTCGTATAAAAGGGAAATATGCTTGCTAATGAGCTAGCATGTTTTTTGGGCCGCCTCGCACCCGAACGAGCAGAGTGAATGAACAGAAGGGTTTGCGTTTGATGGATGACAAATCTAAAGCTCCTTGGGCTGGTCATCATGTTTAGTTGTTTTTTTCACCCCTCATTTGTAAAAGAGAATGTTAAGCACAATCTGCCAGGGACTTAACGTAAAACAGCCTCTGATTTTACGTCCAGAGAGAGTCTGTGTGTGTCTACATGTCGCCTGCTCGTGTATGCGTGTGTGTGTGCGTGTCTCCATATATTTCAAGATTGAGTGTTTTGACCTTGTTCTCGCAGACTGTATATATTGTCATTCTTCAAAGCTGACACGCTAGAGTGCGGCAGATACTAAACTGTGACACGTTTTTATTTAGCAATAAGAGAAGCGTCCCATAGTAACATCACTGGGAAGTGACACAATCGCAATCAATCACAATAAAATGCAACTTCACGGATTCGCAAAGTTACGAGATGATGAAAACTTGCTAAATATACCGTGAAAAAAACTACTTCCACACTGGTGATTTTATGCAAAATCTGGATTCAAATGGTAAAATACTGAATTGGAAACTTAAAAATATGATCAAATTAGCCAATATATTAAATAAATGATGTTTAATAGACACTTTACACTGGAGTACTGGAGAAACGCAAAACATGGTAGAGAACAACCAAAGTTTTTAGGGG